GTATTGTCATGTATGTAAGAACAATATATACATTATATATTATATATATATATATATATATATACATATATATATATATATATATATCCTGGGGCTGGGCCAAGGAGAAAAAAAAGTGCTAGCTGCACTGAAGAAGACAAGGCGTACGACATGAGACTTGATGCTAACTGTTAATTTAGTACAATAGCAAGCATTCAATGAATAGAATATAAAGACTTTATTCTTGCATCAATAAAAAAACACCATAAACTATGTTGACCAATACATACATTTCTCATTTTCGGTATTTAAATCTTGTTCAGCGGTATTGTATCTGAGTGCTCGTAACAACTCAGCTTACGTGGAGACACAAACATAGTGTGTCGATGTACTATCGGGTTAGCAAGCCTCCTCTCGCTTATCCTACACAGTGCTACGGGAATAGTCATCTTCATAAAAGTCTACATATTAACACAGATCAAAGCCTGTATCATGCTCGAATGAGTAAGGGGAAATCAGTACATACATACATATATATATATACATATAAGTATATATATTTATATAGATATATAAATTTATTTACTTATATATATATATAGATAGAGACACACACACAAACACACATATATACACACACACTATATATATACATAAAACATATAAATATACACATATATATATATATGTATATATATTTACTCACGCACACACGTTACAGAATATACATATACATTTAAATAGATATTTGTATTCCATACATAATGATTAGATACTTTTGTATTTGTCGGCGTCATGGATTGCACTTGCGTTGAACTACACATGTGTGAGACAACCATTTTGTTCTTCACAAGCTATTTATATAACCATGCGCTTTGCTTAATATAACACTTAGATCTAACGACTGTCTGCACGCCCAACATTAATTCTCAATCTGCTTAGTTATTGGGTTTGGGGTGCTCCCACATACAACCACTCATACATCTGTAACTTTAATACATTCTATTTGACTTGAGCTAGACAGGTTATATATTCACTTTATTCCTCATAGATCGATCACTTCTTGTTGGGGGGTCTCTCCTTTCTTCGCTTTCTTGACGCTCCTGGGGTTGTCAGCCTTGTCCACTGGTGCCGACGCCTCAGGTTTTCGCTGTTAAAAAGATCGCAAGTAGGTAAATAAGATTGGTAAACAAATGTCTAAGAATTGATCCGGGGCAATATAAGGACAAAACAAAAGACCGGTTAAAATTGATCCGAGGTCATATCCACCAGAAGGGCCGATAGTTAGTTAGAAGTCCTAAAACGGCCCTTGCACATTCTTTATAATTTATATATGTTCGTCTGTATGCGTATCCATACAGATAGTGTATACGCACTTATAAAACCCCTCTTAAACAAAGTTTAGCAATACTGCAACGATCGTAGAACTGTTCATCGATATCATACAATGACAACCTCTCAGAAGGCAGTTTCATGGGCAAAAGAGATACATAACATACTACACAAACCATCGCATTACATATAAAATTGTCTGAGCACGATACGAACAACAGACACTAAAACATCACAAGCCGCCGATTACTCTTCTTGTTGTAACATCCCAAACAAAACCCGACGTCTGTTCCTGGCCAAATCGGCCAAACAAAACCGTTGTCTATCCTTGTTCTCACATACCAGACAAAAACAAAACTCGCAAAAGCATACCTTCAAGGCCTTGACCTTTCTGAGCTGAATGGCATCCAGATCCTGTCTGACCATATGTACCCGTGAGAACTTGTTGCCCATAGAATCGTACTCAACATTCTTTTGCTTCTTGGGCTTGAGCACAGCCGGTTGCTTCATGGAGTGTTGGATGAGTGCCTTATCGGGGAACTGTGTGCGGCGCAGCTCCATGTCAAAGTTCGGTCCCATCTCTTCCAGCTCTACACGGGGGATACGCGAACCTGAGACAGTTTACGGAGTGGATAACGAGTGTACAGCTGTTAGTTTAAATGTGAGAGTATGGATATCATTCGCAGGAACGGGGTTTGACTGCCTCCACATATTAGACTGCCTAGTCACGCTATGCTTCGCTGATCCTGTATGAATATGCTCCGCAGACCCTGTAGACTCATACAGTTATGTATATGAGAAAAACAATGTGTAAGGATCGATAATGTTGTTGGGGGGAAGAGTTGGACCGGTGTAGAAAGTATCGAGACGATCGCAGAAATAAAATAAAATACATATATATATATACAGTTGTAAACATACTCATGTTCATTTACTCGCACATTTTGGTATGATAAATGAGTTGCACAAACAAATAAACAAACACGCATATATATATATACTCTACATAGATGAACATCGCGTACTTGAGACTACTTCTACTTACCTGATTTGAGTAGTTTAGTCTTGTACACTCGGAAAGCGATCGTCTGTACAACCGCATTTGTACCATCGCCCTGTTTCTTCGTCACGGGGATGTGTGTGACCGAGATAACATGCTCCAAACCGCCGATATTGATATCCGGCACATTCTGACCCTTAAACAGATCTAGCAACAGGGACTTTATCCGGATCATGGAGCTGTCTGTCTCGAAGCTATCTCCATTGAACACAAAGCAGGGCTTGGACCCCATCATGATGCTCTTCTTGTACTCCTTGAGACCCTTGTAGTCGACTATACCTACCTCCACCATATCCAAGATCGCGCCATTGAACATACGCCCGAGTACGACATTGTTGGGACGTTTCTTGGTGTGGTTGCCGAAGACGAATAGGGATGTGTCACTTTTCTGCAATAGAAGATCCGACCAAGAGGAAAATTAGACTTTATCCTACAGGGCGTATCTTGTAGATGGAATGTGTGATGAAGTATGAATTTTGCCACGCTGCTTAGTGTAGGTAGCGACGTTGGACACCGGGAGAATATCTACAGGAATTTCTTAGCAACGCTTAGAACGCGATATAGGTGACAGTTGGGTAGACCTGTCGGTCTTCTGATATATATATCACGTTCGAGAGAAGCTAGAGGCTGGTTTACAACTGAGTCCTTGTATGAGCTCGATATTATTATAACAAACTTTTAAATAGTTTACAAGCTAACATGTATAGCCATAACAGAAGCGGCCATATTCTTGCATGCATACCATACGTATGTGAATTTTCCCGAGTACAAATTTAGGTTTACGCATATATGTATAGTCAAGCCTTTCGTACAGCAAATATGCTCAAAAACAAGTAGAAAAAACGCCATGGACATGCTTAAAAGACCAAGTACAGTATTTATCCAGGGGGCAACGAGCATGTGTACTTACGCATATGCTAAGCGTTAAAGAGGTGCATGTGTATTGAAACATTTTGCACACATCACCAGAAAAACACATTTGTGAACTATACTTTAAAGTGCATGGCTAGAGTATGTATCCAGTAATGCTCCATGCATATTGTCTTGTATAGTAGACATTAACTACATGGTTATGGACAGTCACAGTGGAATGTACATGCCCACAAGAGAGTACGATACGGCTCTATACTAGGGGTTGGGGGTTTACGCTAAAACCCTAACTATCATATACCCCTCAGTCTTGCGGATGCTCATATATGTGTCTGGTACACTGCTCTGGCAGTATTAGCAACACTTTCACGAAAGCAAATACACACAGCTGTAGTACATTGAAGTAAAAGCCTAGTATGGAGTAAGCACAGACATTCAGATCATGTTCGGCATACATGATGTGTTGACATACCTACATGTAA